CTGGGGACTTTTTACTAATCACACTGACATTTTGGAACTAGCCTGCATACGCCAATATATAAATTTTTATTGGTACAGGGTATAAATAATACGAAAAAAATCATATCTACGTATTTTTTTTCGCGCATTTACTGTATATGCAACTTATAACGGCCACATATAAAATTCCTTTTTTCAACTTGTGTTTTTTGCCCTTATTTTTTGCACAAGGCTTCTGATAAGTGACTCGTATTTCACGAAAGAAGAAAACCCCGACGTTCATTTCACGAAATAATAAAAAATAAATAAATAAAATTAAAAAGGAGATGAAAAAGAGTAAGAAGAATTCCATAGATTCCCTTGAAGTTACACTGAAATCGCTTAAGAAATTATTAACTTCATTCGGTGGTGGACAACCATCAAATGGTGAAAACTCTAAAAAGAAATCGTCAAAAGAAAGCCTCCGAGGGCATTCCAATTTTCTAGAACACGAAGATGCTCCAATGGAAAATTCAAGTGTTGAAGCTTGTGATAGAAACATTGACGATGGAAAAATTTGCTTAAACAAAGAATTCGATCATCTTTCGCCATTGGATCAAATAGAAGATAGTAGGGAAAGCATGCTGAATTGTATAATTCAATATGTATGGCAAGGAAATTTCTCTTCACCCGATATTGAGGAAAAATTAAAGAGGGGAGCACGAGTACTTGACGTAGGGTGCGTCTAATTATTCCACAATTTTGTGTTTTAGTTATGATCCCGTTTTCTTTATTTTTAATGCGTTACACTTTCACAAAAGTTGCGGCGCAGGATCGTGGATCTTGGACATGTCCATAACTTATCCGAATTCAACATTTGTCGGTATCGACGTTTCTTGTATGTTTCCAACAAAAAACTCTCCTCCAAACGCCGGATTTTTGAAGTGCAACATTTTAGACGTGGACGGTATACCTTTTCCTGGTACGTAAATTAAACATCGTTTTTATTCTTTACATGCCTATTTATTTAATTAGTTTAAATACAACTATAAAAACTTGTCAAGACGAAACATTTGATTTTGTTTATCAAAGATTCTTGTGGGCATCTCTAACGGAAAATCAATGGGTCGCTGTCATTCGTGATTTGGTCAGAGTCACCAAAAAAGGCGGAGTCTTGGAGTTGATGGAACTTGATAACACGCAAGGAGAAAACGCTGGAGTTATAACAAATTTTTTATTCAATTTTTGTAAGGATTGATCTACTCATACAGATTTATAAATTTCGCATAATTACATTATAACGAATACCTTTTCACTAGCAAATAATCACCTCTTCTCAAAAGGCGTGAATCCATATATAACCTCTAAACTTCAAAAAATGTTGGGAGACAATGAGATGCTCACGAGCATTGATCACGACGTTAGAATGATACCACTCGGTGGATGGGGTGGGAAACTGGGAGATATGGTAACTAATATCACATGCTGTGCAATACCTCGCTATTTCGTTACCATACTAACCCGAGATATGAATTAGATGCTAAAGCACGTGATCCAGGGGTTCAAATCACTTAAACCCTCCATAATGAAAACAAATGGGAAAAGTCCCGAAGAATGTGATGGTATGCTAAAAGGCTTCGAAAGGGAGTGCGAGGAATATAAGTCTTATATAAGGCAGCATAGGTTTTGGTGTAAAAAGTTGGGATCGTGATATTGTGAAATATCTTTTTAAAATTTTTAGCATGCCGCTAAAGTTCATTGAATCGAAATTATACAGTCAAAATAATAATAAAATAAATATTTAATGCACTAACCAATATTAAAATTTGGCTTCAAATAATATTTAAAAATAAAAATTTATTCTCATTAAATATATTTACAATTATCAATGATATCGTAATAATATTATTGTATTAAAAATATATTGAACAATAAAAATATCAATTTTTTTTAG